ATATATAAATAATATATTAATTATATATAATATTGCATTAAATACATAAACAAAAAGATTGTGTCGAATACTACTCTAGCATGTAATTCCATTTTCCGTTGCATTTTCGTATAATATTTTACTTAATCTGATTTCGATTTAATCTGATTTTATTTCATTGCACATGGGAGACACTTGTTTGTGCTTCTCACAGTTTTCAAATATTTATATTGATTGACGTTGCCGGTAAAATAATTGGATTAAATGCTGCAGGAAGAATCCAACCAACAACCGCAACATTGTTAGCTGGTTTTTGCGCATATAGGACATGATCCAATTAACTATCTTCCTATATAAATAAAATCAAATTTTTACGTACACTAGATAAGAAGAAAGTTTAAAAGAACACAGTATCATCTTGTTAACATATATTCGCTATAAAAAGCTCAATCTATAAATATAAAATTACCAGTTTGATTGCAACAAGTTTTCACAAAAGTAACATGTGTCGCAGCACACGGAACAGAAGGCAATATTAAATCAATATTCAATTTATTTTAATAGCAAATTTAGATATGTTGTAAATGTGCTGTCACATGAGACGAAGAGTTAATCTAAATAAAATACGAACGGAACTCAGTTATGCAAATTGATGTAACTGTTCGGAAAAGCTTTCAGTTAGTCTATTCTGAGGACGGTCATTCGAAGTCTCTGTGTCAACAGAGCGAGAATCTCTCTCCTCCTTTCTCATTTTCTACGAAACAATGCAGAGATATTAATTATTGCTGGCCTTCAACATGGAAATTGGAAATATTATCTTTTGCGATTCAGTCCCGCCGTAGTTCGGACGAAAATTCTTGCAATTTCATGATAACGATGGTATATTATTACCATTTTCGTATTGCCGTTGTTCTACCTACAGTTCCGAGATATTTTTCAAAAAATTTCTTGCGCAAAATATTTCCTCTCTCTGCAGCAGAATATAAAACCAGTCATTGCCAGTACAAAATTGTTGTCGTACAACAAAGGACAATGAAATAATGTTCGCAAGAATCCATTTTCCGTAAAACTAGATTCTCGTACTTCAAAACGTAATATTGTGTTTAATATTTCTGAAAATTGTTTCGATTTCTTATATTATATGTTCCTTATATAAAAGAAGCTGCGCCTTGATTATATTTCTTAATTTAAACTGATCGGACTAAAGATAATTATTTGTTTTAATACTTTTACCGTTTAATATCTTTATTATCATTTATCGTTTACTTTCAGATCATATATATAAAAAAAACGGAGCTTCTTGCTAAAAATTTCATGTCTATGCTAACTAAGGAATTAAATTTATTTAGCGTCCACTGTCCGAGTGAATTAAAGCGCTTTTGCCATACAGTTGAAATGTTTCCACTTCACTGGACTAAGTGAAATCACCATTCACAAAATACCAAGCGATATGTTCGCCAGTAACGAAAATTCGTTCGCAATCGCATGTCGGAAATAACATTGCTTTCCCGTTCTCGCGTTTAAATCCAAAAATGCAAAATTTCACGGACCACTGCACGCAGAAATCATGGTAAATTCGGACGGAAAAGAACGGAGCTATGTCGCTCTGAAGAATTGCAATATCCGTTTAAAGGAAATTTGTTATCAGCGCAACTACGAACACATCGTAATTCTTGCAAATCAAGAATCGATACCGGCCAACTATCGAAAGAGGGGAGTCAAACGGATTCGTTATATATACAGGGTGTCCCAAACCTGGATGGCACCATTATTCAATAGCGAGTTAAAAATAATTACGATGAGTTCAATAATGAGAAATTAATTTTAAATCTAAATAATTGAGAAACGATTTTGCATTGAGTTTCGTAAGTTTGAAGGAACAGCAATATCTTCCACTGCGATCAAGTTTCATGAAAATTTTGATTAGAACATTTGTGCGAAATATAAAAAAAAAATTCTAAAGAAAAAAATTGATACGAGTATACCTAAGTTCATTGAATTTGACGAAAAAGCCTACTGATATTATATATATATCTGTCTCTCATACAAAGTAACCATATTGCTTTTTATATCGGAGGAAAGATTATCGGGTTACATAAGTTGAAAATCAGCGGAAGATATATTGTACGCATAATCGGCTGCAACACGCGCACTATTGAATTATGTATCAGAAGACACGAAGCAAGAGAATTTGATGTTAAATATTAATATAAAACGAGAATGGAGCACATCATAGTGAAAACTTGAGAAAAAATTGCAAAATCGCGAAACAGGATTTTAATATTACCACTTTTTTAATAACGTCACTTTTAAATATGAATTTAAATCAGATTTTTAAATCCGCCTTTCTTGTATAATACAAATTTTTCTATATTTATATTCTGGAATTTTCCTATCCCTTTTCAAATTGTGATGCTTTATAAACGTAAATAATGTATAGCGACCGGTCGTTAAGGATGTTTTGACTATACAATATCGGCTAAAAGTATCAGTCAAAAAAGCAGTTAAAAAGCCAATATTGTCTAATATCAACCAATTTTTATCACAAATACACTCTGAAACTTTAAATAACAAATAGTGCTTATATAACAAATAATAACAAATAATGGTTTTATGTCGCCAAATGATATATTTTGCAATTGTAGGTAAATAACTTTTAATTAAACGAGTAAGTAGATTCAAATGAACTCTTGCACAAATATTAATTATAATTTTATTAGCGTATATGAAAAATTTAATTTAATTCGTAATGCTGTATTTGTTTATCAAATTTACAAATAAGTATTACACAAAATTTGATTTCCTATAAAAATTAAGACTAGCAGAAAAATCAAATAACTTTTAAACCAATTAGAGTTTATGGTCAAATACTCAGATATAGAAATAATAGATATAATAGACAATAGAAATAATAGACAATTTATGAATTTTTTATTATTTTGATAATGCTTTGAGATGCGGCATCCTTAAAGCTCAATTTCTAAAGACGTGGTAAAACGCGATTATACAAGTTTGCTAGTTAGGAACAGATGTTAGTTACTACTTGAATTGCGTAAAAACAGACGTTAGTTTCTACTACTAATCTAATTTCGACAAGAGCAGCGTCGACGTTCTCGCCTCCACGAGATTGCATCTCTGCGAAGTAATCGACGCAAGTCGGTCGCTTAAATCTAATGTGTAAGCCTATCTTATGTACGTGGAGCCTCTAGAGTTTAATCACAAAACGTTTGATTTATCGTTCGCAGGGGTACCAGCGGTATCGACATAGACCTCCGCCGAGTAGACATAGATCAGTGCCCGTTGCCGACTGGATCCACACAGCTGAACATATTCGCCGCCAGCGACAAGTGCAAAAAGCGCACCACTGAGGTAATGCTAATTTCTCGTTGCGTTCTTCTCGAGGATCGATGTCTCCCGCGAGTGTCCTTCCTCGTGTCGGGCGCGACGTGCGCTTAAACGTACCGTACGGAATAGGGCAAAACCACTCGGGGAGATGTTTTTCTGCGTGGAGACCGACTCTATTTGTAAATGCCACTGTCGACCCTGCCGCAGCTACCAGCTAGCATCCGCTGTGCGAAAACCACCCCGTTTGCGCAGCGTTTTTGTCACCTCTTAACAAACCGCACATTATTGGCATGTTTTACTTTTCATGGATTAAAACTCGAGAAAGGAAGAGAGAGAGAGAGAGAGAGAGAGAGAGAGAGAGAGAGAGAAAGAGAGAGAGAGAAAGAATGGAAGGAAATGCGTCACAGGTTTTTAAAATAAATGTTGAGCTAAATTTCCCGAGATTATTGAGTTTTTGTGGTTTATATTGTCAGAATGATATTTAAATTATAGTGTAAGTCACGTACTTTCCCTTATGAATTTCTTGACAAATTTTGCGGAACGTTTTTTTTTTCGCAGTAGTAAAAGTATGAAGTATGAATGGAAGCAACTTCTTTTTGTAACGTGATTTGAAATTCTCCATTAAAATTTAAATCACAAATTTTTTAACAGTTTCGTTATTATGAAGATGCGAATCTAAATTTCTGAAAGTTCAGCTCTTCTTCACGTAAGAATGTAGGTAAATACACGGGGGAAATTCCTGAAAATTACGGGAAATGTAGAATAGCGTACATATCGCTTGTCGGCCAACACCTTATGTAAACCCCAAACTTTAAACCCCGTGTTTTTCCGAAACCGCGTTTTTCCGATTCGTGGCAACGATAACTCACGAACTTGGAGAGGATCGCAATTTGGAGAGAACGTTTTCGAGCACACTTCTCCCCGTCGGTCGCGTGAACTGCGCGGGCTTTAGAGGGGTAAAACATGTTCGTTGTTGTAAAAACGATAAGAATCATTTTTCACGCTTTTTTTATTCTTTCCCTTTCATGATGATATTTTGTCTCATTTTATCTCTGTTTTTTAATTTTCATTTTTATTTGTGTTGTTTTGACCTTGTAATCGTAGATATTTATTTTAATGGGGATTTTTATCTCACAACTGTAATATTTTTTAATATTACCTCATTTTTTACTTAAATGGTAATGGCTACATAAATGAAAAACAGTTTTTAAGCTACGTGCGATCCTTTTTAATAAAATGTTTTCAATTCTGCTGTTTTAAATAGCTCTCGTGAAATTGAAGTATTATATAGATTAAATTGGAATGTTAAAGCAATATTTTTTAAATTGTTAATATATTGGCTTGTTTTATGTTAATCTTAACATAAAGTTGAGCACAGAATTACTTTAAGTTAATTTTAACATTCAATTTTTTCAATTTTCTTGGATAATTAATAATTTAATTTTAGATTTTCAAAATCCGCGATTGTTTTAAATATTAATCAAATTATTCTCCGTTAAAGCAATGTCTAATCAAAACGTGCTACAGGCGGGACATTATTTTAAGTTAATACATACGCATATGTAGCGTACATAAATCGACTATGTAGAATAAATTTCCATTTATGCGACATGTTATAACGAAAAGCAGATAAATTTAATAATCAAGTGGAACACTCGTCCAGCCGGGAGATCCGCGAATTAAATCAGCAATCGTGAAACAATTCCAATGGATTATAACTATTCATAATAACGAAAGGCTTGAACACGTCATCCTGATTAGATATAATTAATTGTTTTGTCTTCTATTCGCAGTGCATCGCTATTCCCGGGCTTGGCTTCCGTCGCGGTAGTTATCGATGCGTTTGCAAACGAGGCTTCTACTACCCGGACACGAAATCGGACAAGAGGTACTACAATGGTACGGTCATTGAGGAAGAGTACGAGAGATTGATGATGGTGAGTAGTTTAAAGCCGGACTAATGTGTAAAAACAGCTTCGCTCTCCATTTTATGCTCCGCAGAACGTTTAATGTCGTATTATAATATCTTCTTTTCCTCAGAAACAGAAATTACTTTTTTATAAGAGTGGCAAAGTAATGTTAACAAAATGTGTAGGATATTTTATTTTTGTCAAGTTTTGATAAGCATTAAGTCTTTTAATTTCAATTTTCATGTAATAATAACTCTTTTGCAAAAATATAAAGCAAAATACGCATATTTTCAATTGATAGAAGAATTTAAAAAAAAACGGAAATAGATACATTGTATCTATAAATTTGTGAAAGTTTACAAAAATAATTGATTTTTAATTTAAAAAACAAATTATGATTTCGTTGATGAATTAAATAATTTTTTGTCTTCATGTGTCCTAGGAAAAATGTTTTGTCCTGTATAAACCAAAATTTAGTTATAACAACAAATAATTTGGTTGAAATATATCGAACAAAAATTTTTTGCTAAAATGTACTGAATAAAACTGTAATTTTATGTAAATTAAATTTAGATATATTTTGGTATATATAAATATTTTTGTTATTTATAAAACAGAGAAATTATTTTGCAAAAGCAACTACAGTTTTCGTGACATAAATAAAATATTTGGTCTTAAAAATGCCTCAACTAAACAGTTTTCCTAAAGGCTCCAAAAATTTTTTTTTCTAGTGTGCCAGTATTCAATTACGGTTGGATCAATTATTTGCTAAAAAATCGGAGAAAAATATTCAATTGTTCCCAAGTGTTTAAAAGTAAAATTGATAGTAGAATCTGAATCTCTTATTAAAATGTAACCCAATATAGAAAAATGGAAATTATACCTAAATTTACGAGAAAATTGACGAGAACAATTGATTTCCGATTGAAAAATAAATCATGATTTTGTCGATAAGCTAAATACTTTTTTGTTTTTGTATGGCAATTATATATGACATTTGATAACGATTTGCAATTTGAAATTCATTTCCATAAACTTTCGATAAATTTAGTCTGCTGTTACCGCGTACGTAAAGTGCAGTTTGAATGGAATATCCAGCTGATATCAGGATATCGCGTTCCATTTTCCCGTTCGGTTCTCTGGCTTCAAAAACAGGATCGCAGAGTGGAGGATCGTCGCGACAGCGCAATTAGATCGTCGCTGGCGGCAACGGCGCGGCGTTACGACATAACGCACGTTACCGCGCATTCTATTACGGCGCATGGTGGAGAAACGGCGTTTTTTTCCAGTGCAGTTTTCACGTCCGTCGGACTAGCCGTCACTTCTGTGCTCGCAGAAGCGAAATGGATATTGACAGCGAGGCGCGATGGCATCTATTGTCACCGCGTGTTACGTATCTTTTGTGATTTGATGGGCATTTCCATCGCGCGCACGACGCGGTAAAACTATTTTCCAATCGCACCTTTCAGTAGTTGGCGCAACCGTTTGTAACTGCAAACGGTTACAATGGATGATATCTCCTCCGCCAAACATCCTTAATAACCAGAAACCTGGAATATTAACGATGTGTCATTTTTTTTTCGTAACCATCGTGGGCACCGCTAATGTGCATTGTTGATTTGAAAGAACGCTAGAAAGTAGGAGCTCGGAAATAATTATTCTTTACTTTTTTACAAGAGGATTTTCTGTCCTTCTCATTGCGAAAGAAAACTGGAAAAAAAAGCTTGGAATTTATTTTATTCCTTTTTTATTAGTCTTTTATACAAGAGAGAGTGAGAGAGAGAGAGAGAGAGAGAGAGAGAGAGAGAGAGAGAGAGAGAAGTTATCCACCAGTTTCGCACGATAAAATATTTTTTATGTGTGATTTTTTTCTAAATTTAAACAGTACTTATATTATATTTTTTAGTGTCGTGATGGTAAAAATAGATTATTTTGTACATTTTGGAAAAAATTTTTCACTACTTTTTTCAAGAATTACATTTTCACAATATATGTCGAGTCTTATTAATGCTTAGGCATTTATGGTAAATATTATGAAATACTAAAGAGAAAGGAATTTGCGAAGAGAGAAGTATGATCACATATATAATAATAAGATGTTATCAACTTAGAATAGAATTGTATTCGAATGGAATTATATATTTTTGCTAATTATAGAATTGATTTAGAATAGAATTATATTCAAATAGAGAATTATAGTGAATGTTAAAGTATTCATGCAGAGTAGATTTTTATAAGAAAAATCTTATTTTAAAACATTAATATTAATTAGCAATTTATCAACATGTTCCACATATACCGTAGGTCATCGGTGAACTGGTGAACTTTCCATTCAGGCTCTTTGATATAAAAGAAACGTATAATTATAAAATAATTTTTTTACATCATATATATGTAGATACATAATTATGATATGTGATGTAATATTAGCATGTTATGCTATCTTTTTTATAACAATTTTTATAATTATTTTAATTATTATGAAAAATATATATTATTTAACAAACGCAAACAAAAATACTTACTTATCGGTATGTACCACTTATGTGACGTGGTGATAAAATTATATAAAATTATCCTGACCCAGAATTCAATGAATGTGTTCTGCCCTAATATAAATAAAAGAGCTTCGCGAAAATAATTGTTTTCATAATCTCAGAAATAAATTTCCCGACAAATACTGTACAAATACTTTTTATGCATTTGAATAATACAATTTTTGCTTATTATTAAGATAATATTATTTCATTACACATCTTTTCAGATAAAAAGATAATTTTAAAAAATATATACTGAAAAAATAGATTGCATGATTCAGTAAAGCTATTACTATGACTTGCTGCGCAAGTTCAATATTTATAATTATTAAAAATTGAATGATTTAACAAAATTGTATCTGTAAGCAGCGTGAGTGTTGGAGTACTAAATTATCAGTATGCTAATTCAGCTAATTTTTGGCTACAATGAAAATTGCTAACGAGTTTTCTTCATTACAGCAGCAAAAGTATATATTATCTCAGCTAGCATGTTTTGTAAAAATTTTATAATCTATATATTGAAATAATTTTCGTAGAAAGTTATCTTTTCTGTATTAACAATTGTCTGTGCTATTACAAATATAATTATCTATAATCGTTAACTTCATTCAGCTATATAACTTTGTTAATTTAACATAAAAAAATAGTGTCCATATATGTTATGGCTGTAGATTTATTGATTCAAGTTGAAGTTTTTAGTTGTTTTAATTAACCTATTTTAATAAATTGTTAATTAATATTTACTTTTTTAAAAAATAATATTTTTTAAAAGAATCCTCCCCTGTACGAATATTTTTTGCACTCTCTGTATATATATATATATA